TGTCTTGTGTATGACCCTCTGTCCTGTGTGACAGTGAATACCAGCATTATTCTCACTCTAATAAGACCTAATTGAATTACACACAGAGATCACACTAACGTGATGCATCAAATGAACAAATCCACAAGGGCCGTGACGAGGATTCGAACCTACGTCCGGGAGCATCCCAGACACTGCCTTAATCGACTGAGCTACGACAGGGTAAAAGGGTTGAGTTCTACTGAACTTACGAGAGAGGCTACGGGATCCAGTAAGTTCAGTAGAACTTCGGTTTCAACCCTTTTACTCTGTCGTAGCTCAGTCGATTAAGGCAGTGTCTGGGATGCTCCCGGACGCAGGTTCGAATCCTCGTCACGGCCCTTGTGGATTTGTACACAGAAATCACAATAGCGTGATGCATCAACTGAACAAATCCACGAACACCTTTGTGGATTTGTTCCTTTGTCTAAGTTTGAAACCTACTGCTAATGTTATCCTTATGTTTGCTTCAAAGTTTTTCTCATTTTCCGAAGCAAAACCGATCTATCCTTCATTCCATGTTGCTAGACAGGACTTGTCATTACTATACGTCCCCTCATAACATTGCATTTAGCTGCCTTCAATTCTAGAAGCCGGATTTCAAACCACTTCGGAAAAATGTCAAGATCGCTTAGCAGGGAATCCCAACCTCTTTTTTTATTATTTTTATTAGTTTTGCATAATCTGAAAAAAAATTATAGGGAGCCAATATCCTCTGTCAGATCGATAGTAAGAGGATAGGCCCAAGCACCGACTCTTGCGGGACTCCGCTCGTCACCTGTTTGTCACAGTGCGACCTCACTATGGCTCTCTGTTTCCTTCCTGAGAGGTCTCCTCTCACCTATCTTAGTGCTTTTCTCTGATACATCAGACAGCATCTTTAACTTGAAGCTATCTTAGTGTTCTTCTCTGATACATCAGTCAGCATCTTTAACTTGAAGCTATCTTAGTGTTCTTCTCTGATACATCAGTCAGCATCTTTAACTTGAAGCTATCTTAGTGTTCTTCTCTGATACATCAGACAGCGTCTTTAACTTGAAGCTTTCGCTGTATTAAGGTTGTATTTTGCTGTTGTTGAGTTGTTGTTGCTATGCAATGGTGATGTTGTTGATTTTCATGATAAGGTTGCTACCCAAAGAGCAAATACAGCGTGAGAATCCTGTACGGGATTCAGTATCCTCATCCCATAGCTCTTGAGTGATGCGGAGACACTCCTGTTTACAGTCCTGTGGTCACCACTCTCTCACCATCACCAGTCCTGTGGTCACCACACTCACCATCACCAGTCCTGTGGTCACCACACTCACCATCACCAGTCCTGTGGTCACCACACTCACCATTACCAGTCCTGTGGTCACCACACTCACCATCACCAGTCCTGTGGTCACCACACTCACCATTACCAGTCCTGTGGACACTACACACTCACTCCATCACCAGTCCTGTGGTCACCACACTCACCATCACCAGTCCTGTGGACACTACACACTCACACCATCACCAGTCCTGTGGTCACCACACTCACTATCACCAGTCCTGTAGTCACCACACTCACCATCACCAGTCCTGTGGACACTACACACTCACACCATCACCAGTCCTGTGGACACCACACTCACCATCACCAGTCCTGTAGTCACCACACTCACCATTACCAGTCCTGTGGACACTACACACTCACACCATCACCAGTCCTGTGGTCACTCCACACTCTCACCATCACCAGTCCTGTGGACACCTCACTCACTATCATCAGTAACGAACATCCAGTTTACACGCACTTAACGCCCGCAAGAAAATGTTCTACATTTCATTATCTAAAGTTGTTAGCATTCTCTGGTAAATAACAATACACATTAATTGCCGGTATTCTAACCGCCACTAACCAACTGTTGTTGGTAATTCTAACCATCACTAACAAACTGCAGGTGGAATTCAATCAACATTTGTTAGTCTGATGATATCTGGCATATCGCTGATAATTTTGATATTTACATAAAATTAATGTCTTCTGGATCAGGTATTCCTTCCACCCCCCTCCCCCATCAACCTCCTCCCCCCTCTCACTCAACCACCCCATCTGTAAACCCCCCTTTCCTGTGTCCCCACACACTGCTACATCCCCCTCCCCCTTTCTGTTACCCACTCTAATCCCTTTTGTTTTCACGATTCATCCTTTTCACTCATTCCAATCCTCTCTCTCTCATCCCCTTCCTCCCTATTTCCCCTCTCTCAATCCCTCCCCCTTCCCTTCTCCTCTTCAACTACTCCCCATCACCCCTCACGAAACCATTCCCCTCACCCCTTTGTCTGTCTCCCCAACTCCCCCTTCCCCTCTACTATATTCATGACTCCCTACACCCTTTCACCCCCCTCCCAACGACACCCCCACACCCCCACCCCTCTAGCACCCCCACACCCCCATATGGTGACGAGCGCCGAGCATATCTGTTATGAATACATAATACCCAGGTGATGGTGACTTAGGAGACCTGGTGATACATGTATCATGTATGCTGATACATGTATCACGTATTACCTGGGTTTACGGTAGACCGGAGTATCCTGCCGCTCTGTGAGAGAGTAGAGTAGAGGGGGGAAAGGGTCAGGGTGCTTGATGTATGAGGCAGAATCTCATAGGCCTCATAGAACCTTCCATGAACCTCATAGAACCTTCCCATGTGAGAGAAAGTTCTCTCACATGGGAAGGTTCCCTCTCCCTTTCCCTCTCATATTATGAGAGGGAAGGGGGAGGGAACTATCAGGGAGAAAGCACTAAGCCATTACGACTATATAGCACTTGGAAGAGTCAGGACTTGGGGATGGGACGGGGGTGGGAAGGAATATTATGAGAGGGAAAGAACTTGACAACAAGAGTGGAAAAGTGAAACGGGGCTCTGCATATATCAACCTTCACTGTCCCTCTTCTTTGTTATCTTTTCCCGTTATCGGCCATTATCGCTTATTACTCAACATCATTTATCGTTGTTTCCTGTGCGTTTTGGGATTAATCTATAGCATTTGTTCTTTGTAGATGCCTTTGTTATCGGGGTTCATGTATGGAGGCGGAGTGAGATCTGTCTGTCTGTTCTGTCCGATTCTCTGTCCGTTTCTGTGTCTGTCCGTTACTGTGCTTTGTCCCTTTCTATGACTGTCCGTTTCTCACTAGTCAGCCCTTAAGCTCTTACTGACTCTATCAATTATTTGATGGATAATAGTACACATTATCTTTTAAACTCAGAATACTCATGGCTATAATTATTTCTGAATAATATCGTCACACACACACACACACACACACACACACACACACACACACACACACACACACACACACACACACACACACACACACACACACGTGGTGGAGGCTGACTCCATACACAGTTTCAAATGTAGATATGATAGAGCCCAGTAGGCTCAGGAACCTGTACACCAGTTGATTGACAGTTGAGAGGCGGGACCAAAGAGCCAGAGCTCAACCCCCGCAAGAACAACTAGGTGAGTACACACACACACACACACACACACATACACACACACACACACACACACACACACACACACACACACACACACACACACACACACACACACACACACACACACACACACACACACACACACACACACACACACACACACACACACACACACACACACACACACACCTAAAATCTAGCGAGACTGCTCCCAAACACAGAATTTGCTGTATTTATCACCTTGCTAATCAACAATGTTACAGACACATAGTTTGACAAAAGCAGAACCGGATAGGCAATAATATTAACGATTATCATTAAAATATAATGAGACATATAATGTCTCATCTTGCAGGAATAATCAACAGTGCATTAAACCTAATTTAAAGACTGGTGATCCATGCAATAGTGCGTTGAACAGCGCAAGGTTGAAGGAGCCTTGGATACTGTGGATACTGTGCATAACACTCGCTTTGTCGGATTAAGCACCGTTAGCTATCCAGCCCGTCCTCCTAAGGTCTGCCAAAGTCAAGAAAACGGTCAATTTAAAGTAGTCTCTCCTGACCTACCAGAGGACCCAAAACAGAAAACGGGACTGTACGTCACTTTCACGCCAGCCGCTTCCATTGTCTAGTACGACCATTTTTAGGATTTTTTTGTGACGCATACGAGCGAAAAGCGACGTTCTTTGTAGGAGGACAGGTTGTAGGAGGACAGGTTGTAGGAGGACAGGTTGTAGGAGGACAGGTTGTAGGAGGACGGGTTGTAGGAGGACAGGTTGTAGGAGGACAGGTTGTAGGAGGCCAGATTGTAGGAGGACAGGTTGTAGGAGGACAGGTTGTAGGAGGACAGGTTGTAGGAGGACAGATTGTAGGAGGACAGGTTGTAGGAGGACAGGTTGTAGGAGGACCAGTAACTGGAAGGGCTACAATGGGTACAACCTCGTTCTATTCCTGAAATACTTCGTTAATCTTAATAGACTTCTTGTCTGACATTGGAATATATTTTCGAGGCTGTGGTGATGAAAGGGAGCCGGTCGGCCGAGCGGACAGCACGCTGGACTTGTGATCCTGTGGTCCTGGGTTCGATCCTTGGCGCCGGCGAGACACAATGGGCAGAGTTTCTTTCACCCTATGCCTTCTGTTACCTAGCAGTAAAATAGGTACCTGGGTGTTAGTCAGCTGTCACGGGCTGCTTCCTGGGGGTGGAGGCCTGGTCGAGGACCGGGCCGCGGGGACACTAAAAAGCCCCGAAATCATCTCAAGATAACCTCAAGATAATGTAGCTGTGTAGAAAACACACATTTTACTGGAAAACAAAAATGAGTGTGTTGATGGGTGATAGAGAGAAGTGCGTGACAACAGCTCCTGAAGATACGGGCGGCGGCAGGGTGTGGGTGTAGGAGACTGGGTGGGTGTAGAAAACTGGGTGGAAGGAGGAAATTGAGGAAATGGAGGGAAAAGGGGGTAAGGGAGACAGAGATCACGACAGATACTTCGTCTACATCTCCTCAAATGGAGTTTTATGGTGTAAATCAACCACTCTCGCCTCACTAATGCACGTGTTCGCGCAGCGGAAGGATTTACGGCCGCGGCAGCACGACTCATCAAACACTCTAAAAGGTAAAAAATGGACGAATATTACGTAATCCGGCACTTAACGAAGAATGATACCGTTCCTAAACTGACATTATGCTTGCCTACATGAATCAGCATAGTGGAAATATGCGAAGGGGAATTACATATTTGCACCTGATTTGCAAAGAGTAATTTTTGGTGCATGTTTTTTTTTTGGTTTAAGGTATTTGTGTATTTATTTTGGTTAGTGTCTCTTATGGTTTAGTGTGATGGGGTTCTGGGTGTGACAACTGTGACAAGACGACCCCTGGGTGACCCCTACCCCTCGTTATCTCAGCTGTAAACACAGTGTCTCATAACGTAATAGTCCCCCTGGGTGACCCCTAACCCTTCGTTATCTCAGCTGTAAACACAGTGTCTCATAACGTAATAGTCCCCCTGGGTGACCCCTACCCCTCGTTATCTCAGCTGTAAACACAGTGTCTCATAACGTAATAGTCCCCCTGGGTGACCCCTAACCCTTCGTTATCTCAGCTGTAAACACAGTGTCTCATAACGTAATAGTCCCCCTGGGTGACCCCTACCCCTCGTTATCTCAGCTGTAAACACAGTGTCTCATAACGTAATAGTCCCCCTGGGTGACCCCTAACCCTTCGTTATCTCAGCTGTAAACACAGTGTCTCATAACGTAATAGTCCCGCTGACAGAGCAAACTCTGGCTTTCAGATCCTTGACGAAACGCCAAATATTTACATATAAATTTTTGCTTCGTAAGGAGTGGGTGCGAACCCGTCCCCCATGAGATCGTATCAGGCTAACTTCACTGGGCAAATTTGTGCAATATTCGCACAGCTCGACTGAGCGCTGATGCTCAAGACGTTAAAGAACATACGAGATAATTATCAGAAGCAAGGAATTAAAGCCAGTATGTGGCTCTATAACACTGTGGTTTTATGTTCAGATTTTCTCTTAATTGAACAAACACACACATTATAAAATTATATTATTAAAAGGTCCTATAAGTGTGAAGCGATTGATGAGAGAGAGATATATGAGCGAGAGGCTGAAGTCCACGGCCCAGGAGATAGAGTCTTGCAGAAATAGGATACAGAATGTTACCTAAATCTTGCAGGTAACTTACGGACAGAGATGCTCTGGATAGAAATGCTCCGGACAGAGATGCTCCGGAGAGACATGCCCTGGAAATGCCCCTGGACAGAGATGCCCCAGATATAGATGTTCCGGAAATGCCCCGAACAGAGATGCCCCGGAGAGCAACCTAATTTGGGTTGCATAAGACAATATAAACATCGCCTCAGAGAGTGGCTCTGGCAGAGAAATGCATACAAAAAATAGAATTTGTTTGCACAAATTCGCTCCAGAGTTTCTGCACATCCGCTCAAATTACCGGAGGAAACGAGTTCGTTTCCGGGCACCACATGGCATCCAAGTCGTTACCTCCTGGGTCGTCAACGACCCGCGGAGAACTACGTACGCCTACGGACAGACATCTCTACATTATTACCATAAGCTGGATCATCTGCAAGATTATTGGAAGAAGAACACCATTCCTAAGAGAGAGTGCTTGTGAAATCCTAATACAATCTGTGATTAGGAAATCCACGAATCCATCCACAGAAGCAGGAGACCAACAGAAACTCAGAAGGAACATATCCATCATCAGGTGGATATCCACATATCCACCTGACGTCCCATGACCAAGTATCCCGAGAGATCTCTTGGAAGACGTTCAACAGGACATGAGAACGACATGAAAGCAAGAAATAAAGCATCACCGACATCAACCAAACCACTGGGAACATATAAATATTTCACTCCACACCCCCACCTACCGGGATAGAACTGGGACGTACTGGGATGGGGATAGTACTCATTGCATCCTTATGCTCCATCCAAATTCCTACTCCCTCCCTCCCTTTCATCTTTATCAAAACCATTGGTCAGTGAACGAGCGACTCAGACATACATTCACTCCTCTCCCCCCTCTCTGACATGTATGAAGATGAATAACTTCATCATCCCTCGTTGCTATTGGGTAATGGTGTCCAAAATCGACGCATCGCGCGTTTCTGGCGTATGCGAAGGTTTACCGTCGACGACGCCAGCTCGAAGGTCGTGAATAAAATACGGGAATGGACGACTTTTAGCCGGTCGTTGAGGCTTGGGGGCCCATTAGTCCACAGAGGTCCAGGTCTTCCAGCACGCGGAGGACTGCTCCCGTCGTCGTTACCCCTACCCGAGGGTGTTTTAAAGTCGTCCCGTGGGGGTCCTTGGTGGTCTCCTAGTAGCGTCCTGGTAGCGTCCCGGTAGCGTCCCGGTAGCATCCCGGTACTATCCCGGTAGCGTGGCCAACACCAGGCTGTTGGACGTGGCTGCTCGCAGCCTGACGTATGAATCACAGCCTGACGTATGAATCACAGCCTGACGTATGAATCACAGCCTGGTTGATCAGGTATCATTACGGACATTAGTGTTCCGGTAGTTCAGTTGGGTTCATTCTCGACGTACACTCGAGAATTCCAGGTTCGAATCCCGGGCAGGACAGAAATGATTGCGCACATTACCTTCCACCTAGTGCACCTGTTCACCTAGCAGTAAGTAGGTACTTAAGAGCCAGCTTGCTGTGGGGTTGATTCTTAATTCGACCTTAAGGGGGGGGGGGGAAGAGAGACCCCCATCTAAGCCTAACATGTATGAATACACTCTGGCTACCTGTCCCCCCTAAAAACCCTGTCGCCACAAATCAGAGACCTGAGAAAAGTCCAGGAGGAATATCCAGTACCTGAAGAGGCCTGGTCGAGGACCGGGCCATGGGAACATTGAGCCACGGCAGGGTAACCAAAATAGTGTTCCCTTCCTTCTTCCCAGTCCGTGATGACTTAGGGTGAACCTGTTGTGCATTTAGGGTGGAAGAGGGATGATAAGAGGCTCACTTTCACCCCACTCTGACGTGTGTGTGTGTGTGTGTGTGTGTGTGCCGGAGGGGACATTCCCCCTACTTCCCCCACTTTAGCTCATGCCACCCCACAAACCTCCTTCCTAAACATCACAACTTATCGCCAATTCTCCTGCTTTATGGACCTCTCTCTCCCCCAATCATTTTCCCCTCTCCCTCTCACCAAATTTCCCCTCTCGTTCATCCCCTGAGAGTTATGGCGAGTGAGGATGCTGTGATCACTTGGAGGCTGGCGGCGCCTACCCGATCTACGCATCTAATAATAATGAACACCCCCAGCGGGTTTTCTTCCTATTGGGGAGTGTTGTGCATGCTGCTATGGTGGTATGACAACTCACAGGATAAACTCGCTTCTCGGGGCAAAATTTAAATAATATATTTAAATATAACCCATGGCTTTCCTTTTTCTGAACAGTGCTTTCTCTTGATAGTTCCTTTCCCTTCAACTGTCCTTTATTATGCGCCCAATACCCATCCCGTGGGCGCTGGTGGAAAGGGTTACAGAGGCACATAATGGCTTCAGGAACTGAATTAAACTGATTCAGAAACTGAACTGATTCTGGAACTGAACTGAACTGATTGTGGAACTGAACTGAACTGATTCAGAAACTGAAACTCCTACAGTTCATGCAAGAAAATCCACTTCTTCACCGTTCTTCGTTGAGTATCGGACATCAAATTTCCTCCATAAATTAGGTTCCTTTGAAAAAATGAAACTGAAACCGTTTGATTTGGCTTTGGAATATTTCAATTTATAGGTCAATCGCTTAGGGTTAAAGGTCAATCAAGTTCAACCTGATCTATAGGCTAAACATGTGATAAACAACCATGTACCATACAAGATATATATATATATATATATATATATATATATATATATATATATATATATATATATATATATATATATATATATATATATATATATATATATATACACGTGATATTGTACCAACGAATCTGTTGGTGCTTTGAGAAGGTTGAAAGATAGTTGACCAGACCACACACTAGAAGGTGAAGGGACGACGACGTTTCGGTCCGACCTGGACCATTCTCAGCTCCTATTAAGGAGCTGCCTCGCTCCTTAATAAGAGCAATACCTTTAAGTGAAATGCAATACTGTTGAAAGATAGTTTGTTCCACATGTGGCAGTTTGTTCTATATGTGACAAGCCTCCTGAAGTCGACGAGCAATTTAGAGGGTGTGAAAGAAGGAAGGAATTAATTACCAGGAGAAAGTACTAAGCCATTACGACTATACAGCACTTGAAAAGGGTCAGGATAAGGATTTGGGAATGGACGGTGGAAAAGGAATGGTGCCTAACCATTTAGACGGTCGGGGATTGAACCCCGACTAGAAGGTGTGAGAAGCGCTCAAGTGGCCAGTTAGACCTGAAGATCACACGATGGTTGAGCATTTAGTCTCCTGTCCTATGTGATTGGAGAGCATATTTCCTATTTTTAATGCCTAACTTATTGAGCTTACGGCAGCTATATTGCATAATTGGTGTAGGGAAATGCAATACTGTACTCGAGGCCAGAACGACTGCTATTGTAATTTAACTGTATCCAGAAACCATTGAAAGCATCCTTGCAGAATTATTGCAATTTCTGTGTTCCTACAATTTACGATTATCTTGAGGTTATCTTGAGATGATTTCGGGGCTTTTTAGTGTCCCCGCGGCCCGGTCCTCGACCAGGCCTCCACCCCCAGGAAGCAGCCCGTGACAGCTGACTAACACCCAGGTACCTATTTTACTGCTAGGTAACAGGGGCATAGGGTGAAAGAAACTCTGCCCATTGTTTCTCGCCGGCGCCTGGGATCGAACCCAGGACCACAGGATCACAAATCCAGCGTGCTGTCCGCTCGGCCGACCGGCTCCCCCAATAGTGAATTACTGGGGCCAGATTCACGAAGCAGTTAAGCAAACGCTTACAAACTTCTCTTTTCTCAATCTTTGGCGGCTTTGTTTACAATTATTAAACAGTTAATGAGCTCCGAAGCACCAGGAGGCTGTTTATAACAATACCAGCAGTTGACTGGCAAGTTTTCATGGCATCTTAGCGATCAACACATCTACAGTAGATGACTTCTCCAACGACCTACTTAAGAGGATAGACTCAGGTCAATAATTTTTTATTGACCGGGTTTTGTTAGTCTTATATAATGGCGCCACTTGTGCAACATTGTATAAATCAGGGGATTTACTGATAATTTACAGTTTTATTTACAGGGGATTTACGTAGTTGCACTGTTTGCAACACTGCAACTACGAAGTTAATTAACATTAAGTTTTAATAATTACTAAAAGTAGGTCATCGTAACTTATGCCTGGATGCAGCAAGTATGTATGTATGTATGTATGTATACATGTATGCAACATACATAAGCATGTATGTCACATACATAAGCATGTATGCCACATACATAAGCATGTATGTCACATACATAAGCATGTATGCAACATACATAAGCATGTCTGCCACATACATAAGCATGTATGCAACATACATAAGCATGTATGCCACATACATAAGCATGTATGCCACATACATAAGCATGTATGCCACATACATAAGCATGTATGCAACATACATAAGCATGTATGCCACATACATAAGCATGTATGCCACATACATAAGCATGTATGCAACATACATAAGCATGTATGCCACATACATAAGCATGTATGCCACATACATAAGCATGTATGCCACATACATAAGCATGTATGCAACATACATAAGCATGTATGCAACATACATAAGCATGTATGCCACATACATAAGCATGTATGTCACATACATAAGCATGTCTGCCACATACATAAGCATGTATGCAACATACATAAGCATGTATGCAACATACATAAGCATGTCTGCCACATACATAAGCATGTATGCAACATACATAAGCATGTCTGCCACATACATAAGCATGTATGCAACATACATAAGCATGTCTGCCACATACATAAGCATGTATGCAACATACATAAGCATGTCTGCCACATACATAAGCATGTATGCAACATACATAAGCATGTATGCAACATACATAAGCATGTATGCCACATACATAAGCATGTATGCCACATACACAACTTCCTACGAATCTCTACAACTTTTCACAATTATCGGCTTTGTTCACATACATATTACAACCGTTCATGAGCTCAGAAACACCAGGAAGCTTGAAAAAAAACGGTAACAACATTAGATTAGGAAGTTTCAATGCTCGCAAACTGTTTAATAATTGTAAACAAAGCCGCCATAGATCGAGAAAAGATGCACAGGTTCCTAAATAGTTGCGTAGCTGTTTGGTGAGTTCTGGTTGTGAACTATTGTAATCTAGAGAAACAGCAGCGTTAGGTAGTGTACTTTGGTGAGCTGGAAGTGTATTCTGGACGGGTATGATGGGGTATAGGCTGCCCTCCACTAGGGTATGATGGGGTATAGGCTGCCCTCCACTAGGGTATGATGGGGTATGGGCTGCCCTCCACTAGGGTATGATGGGGTATAGGCTGCCCTCCACTAGGGTATGATGGGGTATAGGCTGCCCTCCACTAGGGTATGATGGGGTATAGGCTGCCCTCCACTAGGGTATGATGGGGTATAGGCTGCCCTCCACTAGGGTATGATGGGTATGGGCTGCCCTCCACTAGGGTATGATGGGGTATAGGCTGCCCTCCACTAGGGTATGATGGGGTATGGGCTGCCCTCCACTAGGGTATGATGGGTATGGGCTGCCCTCCACTAGGGTATGATGGGTATGGGCTGCCCTCCACTAGGGTATGATGGGGTATAGGCTGCCCACCACTAGGGTATGATGGGGTATAGGCTGCCCTCCACTAGGGTATGATGGGGTATAGGCTGCCCTCCACTAGGGTATGATGGGGTATAGGCTGCCCTCCACTAGGGTATGATGGGGTATAGGCTGCCCTCCACTAGGGTATGATGGGGTATAGGCTGCCCTCCACTAGGGTATAATGGATATGAGCTGCCAACCACTAGGGCAGCGAACTAACAAGGCTGTTCACTGATGCAGTATAACTAACAACACTTGAACGTTCATATCTCTTTACAAACCAACTTATGCCAAGAAAAAAACATTCTTCACTGATTGGTCCGTTGCGAACCGCGGTCACGGAATCACTTCCAGTGATTTACGTACACAACTCCAGTTATCTCAATCAAGTTTATTCTTGAAAAAATTAATATTAACACTTACCTGTTGAGTGATTTATTACCTGTGGGAGTGATTTAATTCCCAACATGTGTAGGGGTTTAATGCCCCACATGTGTAGGGGTTTAGTTCCTCACATGTGTAGGGGTTTAATGCCCCACATATGTAGGGGTTTAGTTCCTCACATGTGTAGGGGTTTAATGCCCCACATGTGTAGGGGTTTAATTCCCCACATGTGTAGGGGTTTAATGCCCCACATGTGTAGGGGTTTAATGCCCCACATGTGTAGGGGTTTAATGCCCCACATGTGTAGGGGTTTAGTTCCTCACATGTGTAGGGGTTTAGTGCCCCACATGTGTAGGGGTTTAGTTCCTCACATGTGTAGGGGTTTAATGCCCCACATATGTAGGGGTTTAGTTCCTCACATGTGTAGGGGTTTAATGCCCCACATATGTAGGGGTTTAGTGCCCCACATATGTAGGGGTTTAGTTCCTCACATGTGTAGGGGTTTAATGCCCCACATATGTAGGGGTTTAGTGCCCCACATATGTAGGGGTTTAATGCCCCACATATGTAGGGGTTTAGTGCCCCACATATGTAGGGGTTTAGTTCCTCACATGTGTAGGGGTTTAATGCCCCACATATGTAGGGGTTTAGTTCCTCACATGTGTAGGGGTTTAATGCCCCACATATGTAGGGGTTTAGTTCCTCACATGTGTAGGGGTTTAGTTCCTCACATGTGTAGGGGTTTAATGCCCCACATATGTAGGGGTTTAGTTCCTCACATGTGTAGGGGTTTAATGCCCCACATATGTAGGGGTTTAGTGCCCCACATATGTAGGGGTTTAGTTCCTCACATGTGTAGGGGTTTAATGCCCTACATGTGTAGGGGTTTAGTTCCTCACATGTGTAGGGGTTTAATGCCCCACATATGTAGGGGTTTAGTTCCTCACATGTGTAGGGGTTTAATGCCCCACATATGTAGGGGTTTAGTTCCTCACATGTGTAGGGGTTTAATGCCCCACATATGTAGGGGTTTAGTTCCTCACATGTGTAGGGGTTTAATGCCCCACATATGTAGGGGTTTAATGCCCCACATATGTAGGGGTTTAGTTCCTCACATGTGTAGGGGTTTAGTTCCTCACATGTGTAGGGGTTTAGTTCCTCATATGTGTAGGGGTTTAGTTCCTCACATGTGTAGGGGTTTAGTTCCTCACATGTGTAGGGGTTTAGTTCCTCACATGTGTAGGGGTTTAGTTCCTCACATATGTAGGGGTTTAGTTCCTCACATGTGTAGGGGTTTAGTTCCTCACATGTGTAGGGGTTTAGTTCCTCACATGTGTAGGGGTTTAGTGCCCCACATGTGTAGGGGTTTAGTTCCTCACATGTGTAGGGGTTTAATGCCCCACATATGTAGGGGTTTAGTTCCTCACATGTGTAGGGGTTTAATGCCCCACATATGTAGGGGTTTAGTTCCTCACATGTGTAGGGGTTTAATGCCCCACATATGTAGGGGTTTAGTGCCCCACATATGTAGGGGTTTAGTTCCTCACATGTGTAGGGGTTTAATGCCCCACATATGTAGGGGTTTAGTTCCTCACATGTGTAGGGGTTTAATGCCCCACATATGTAGGGGTTTAGTTCCTCACATGTGTAGGGGTTTAGTAGTTGTCAGAAAAGGAGAAGCCTGAGAAGGTTATTGTCCCCTCAAGAACATGCAATTGCTAGCAGGATAGCCGGTTTGTTGTCTAGATAGCAGGCTGTCTGTCTGTCTGTCAATTCCCTTGGATGGAGACGGAACAAGGCTGGTAGGAACAAAGGGAATGGAAGAACTGAGGACAGGAGGAAAGAGAGAAAAGAAAGGGAGAGAGAGATGGGATAAGGGAGAGAGAGCGACCCAGAGAGGAAGCCAGGGAGGCAGGGGGATGTAGGAAAGGGTAGGAATGAGTGAGGGGAGGTAGGGAGTGAGAGAGAAAGGGAGATAGCGAGATAGCAGGGGTATTAACACTCCCCCAAATATAACCTCAGATTTCCAGTGGGGATCGGCAGAAATAGAGTGGCAGAGTAGCGACCAATTACTTCCCCTCTTACTGCTCCCTTTGGGTAATTACCGCTCTGCTTTACCCTACTTTAACTGTTGCTGCTAACAGGAGGGAGGAGTAACAGGAGAGGGGGGAGGGAGTAACGGGGATTGAACTCTGCTCTATCGGCCCGCCTCTCAACTGTGAATCAATCGTTATATACTAATTTTGTTATTGTTTTTTGTTCAAACACACACAGGAAGCAGCCCATAACAGCTGTCTAACTCCCAGGTAGCTATTTACTGCTAGGTGAACAGGGGTATCAAGGTGAAATTTGTTTCCACCATCGCCGGGGATAGATCCCCGGTCCTTATGATGAAGAATCCCGAGCGGTGTTCACTCAGCCGTCAGCCACGCTGACGTGTAATTACCTAAGTGTAATTACCTAAGTGTAGTTACAGGATGAGAGCTACGCTCGTGGTGTCCCGTCTTCCCAACACTCTTTGTCATATAACGCTTTGAAACTACTGAATGTGTGTGTGTGTGTATGTACTCACCTAGATGGGCTTACAGTTGTGCTCTAGCTCCTAAGCACGACTATTTGTGTAGTTTCCCCGACTCTTACGTTCAATATATCTATTTTGTATTATTTATCTTACTTTTATCTTCACCGTTAGATCATTCCTTTAGTTCCCTGTTATTACGTTATATCTATTTTGTATTATTTATCTTACTTTTATCTTCACCGTTAGATCATTCCTTTAGTTCCCTGTTATTACGTTATATCTATTTTGTATTATTTATCTTACTTTTATCTTCACCGTTAGATCATTCCTTTAGTTCCCTGTTATTACGTTATATCTATTTTGTATTATTTATCTTACTTTTATCTTCACCGTTAGATCATTCCTTTAGTTCCCTGTTATTACGTTATATCTATTTTGTATTATTTATCTTACTTTTATCTTCACCGTTAGATCATTCCTTTAGTTCCCTGTTATTACGTTATATCTATTTTGTATTATTTATCTTACTTTTATCTTCACCGTTAGATCATTCCTTTAGTTCCCTGTTATTACGTTATATCTATTTTGTATTATTTATCTTACTTTTATCTTCACCGTTAGATCATTCCTTTGGTTCCCTGTTATTACGTTAGCCGCATGCGTTAGCTAACTAACCTGTAGCCCATTACACTTGCTAACGAGCCGGGGAACGCCTGGGCGCCATACTGAACATAACGTATTTATTGACGGCCTCCGTTCCTGAAAAATCTTGCATGTCGTGACTATATCTCCTCTACTTCGCCTCCCCTCCTTAGAGGTGGCAGAGACAGTCACTACCTGAGCCTCTCCCCCCAACAAGCTGGTCATCCCAACTGTGACACGATGCGTGTTGCACACATACATACTTATAAAGTGTGATCTTTACAAGCGGTTCAAGCATCCATAACCAAGTTTGGTAGAACAAAAGTCCCGTACGTACTTTTTGAGGACTGAGTTCGAATCCCGGATCATCTGAGTGAATAAGACATGACCTATCTTGAGGTTATCTTGAGATGATTTCGGGGCTTATTTTTTTTTTAGTGTCCCCGCGGCCCGGTCCTCGACCAGGCCTCCACCCCCAGGAATTAGCCCGTGACAGCTGACTAACTCCCAGGTACCTATTTACTGCTAGGTAACAGGGGCATTCAGGGTGAAAGAAACTTTGCCCATTTGTTTCTGCCTCGTGCGGGAATCGAACCCGCGCCACAGAATTACGAATCCTGCGCGCTATCCACCAGGCTACGAGGCCCTGGTGGGCCTCGTAGACCTAACCCAACCTAACCAACCTATTCTAACCCCAACCTAACCCTACCCAACCCATCCCGACGACTCTACCCATTATGACGTCATAATTATTTTCCAGATGAGGAAATAGATTATTTTCCAGATTATTTTCCAGATTATTTTCCGGATTATTTTCTGGATTATTTTCCAGATGAAGATATAGCTGTTACTGGCTCCAGTTTACCCCCACGACCTCGTGCCCTGGGTCACACCCGTGGGCCCCGGGTTCAATCTCCGGCCCGAGCAGAAACGGATGGACATGTTTCCTTTCACCTCATACATCTGTTCATCTAGCAGTAAAATAGGTCTATCCGGCAGATTTAGGCAACTGTTATGGGTTGCAACTTAGGATAGGTCACTAGTTCATGGGGGGGGGGGGGAATTAAAGGGGGGACCTCACTATCCTCCCCCCCCCATTGGGGAAAACCAACCCATCCTTCTGTTTAGATAGTACCTATTGTGACTATCGTCAATAGTCACGAATTCGCACATACTAAGCTTTTAGATAGTAGTATACTGACTATTAAGGAATTCTTTTAAAATGCAGCTAAAACATAAATTTAAATATTCCTAGGCCTAGTATAGCACACATATGTACTATATTAGGCCTCAGATATGGTGTATTAGGCCTAGGGAGGTTAGGGCTAGTTTAGTTTCGCACAGCAACACACACAAAAAAATAGTTTTCCAGTTTGTCCAACTCAATAGTACAGATTTCTACTTTCTAATTTTGTCGTAAGTCGGTATATATATATATATACTATGGACTTCAGGGAGCCGGTCGGCCGGGCGGACAGCACGCTGGACTTGTGATCCTGTGGTCCCGGGTTCGATCCCAGGCGCCGGCTAGAAACACTGGGCAGAGTTTCTTTCACCCTATGACCCTGTTACCTAGCAGTAAAATAGTTACCTGGGTGTTAGTCAGCTGTCACGGGCTGCTTCCTGGGGGCCTGGTCGAGGACCGGGCCGCGGGGACACTAAAAAGCCCCGAAATCATCTCAAGATAACCTTCATCGTTACTCTAAGGATTACCAAAACAGGAAGATGGACTGGAGGAAACAAGGGACAGAGAAACACAAGCAACACTTCAAGGAACACTTCAGCAACTTTAAATGAACACTTCCGTATATTATCTGTAAATATATTACGCTTAATTAAATTCCTTTAGTGAAAAACGTTATACAAGAAATTTTCAAAGAATTTTCATTAAAAAAAATTCGATAAAAAAAAGGGGAGAGAGAGGTATTGTATAGCTGTATAATATTTCCTTTTATACATTATAGAGGAAAAACTATTTTTGGGGATATTTTCAAAATTTTTGGATACAATGATATTATTTTCCATGTTATTATAACTGTTGCTCTACACTAATGTGATTATAGTTCATATATTAGTTTATCTTGTAGGCCTGTCACTAAGGCCTATAAGCCTATATAAGGCCTATAAGCCTACATAAGGCCTATAAGACAGGCCTATAGGCCTCTAAGCTTATAGGCCTGTCACCAGTCACGTGACAATGAGGGTATTCGACCAGAGTGAAAGATTGCATAGTTAAATTTCTTAACGACTAAGTTAGCAGTAACCCTAACTACGTAACTACCACGTAACTACACGTAACGTAGCAGCAACCCCACTGACACACACACACACACACACACACACACACACACACACACACACACACACACACACACACACACACACACACACACACACACACAGCCTGGTGGAGGGGCCTCGTAGCCTGGTGGATAGCACGCAGGACTCATAATTCTGTGGCGCGGGTTCAATTCCCGCACGAGGCAGAAACAAATGGGCAAAGTTTCTTTCACCCTGAATGCCCCTGTTACCTAGCAGTAAACAGGTACCTGGGAGTTAGTCAGCTGTCACGGGCTGCTTCCTGGGGGGTATAGGGGGTGTGAAAAAAATATAGTAGTTAGTAAACAGTTGATTGACAGTTGAGAGGCGGGCCGAAAGAGCAAAGCTCAACCCCCGCAAACACAACTAGGTGAATACAACTAGGTGAATACACACACACACACACACACACACACACACACACACACACACACACACACACACACACACACACACACACACACACACACACACAGTCCATGTTAACGAAGTCAAAAATCCTCAGCGGAATTCGACGAAAATTACCTACTGGTAATCTAGCTAGGACCGTCAGGAGAGGACTGCTGACAACTGCTGTACTCTGCCAGCTTCACTCTGTCAGCTTCACTCTGTCAGCTTCACCAGTACACGCTGTACTCGACCAAGCTACAGCTGACTCGACAATTTCACCGTACAATGAAATCCAAAATGACATTTTTCTTAAATATAAAATGATACCATTTTATATTGCAGTTATATGCATATATGTAACTATACCTGCGCCAGGTTTGGTTAGTCGTTAGTAATTACATTGATTTGCAGGAATACTTGATGGGATAGACAGATGAAGGGACAACTCTCTCTCTCTCTCTCCCTTTTTCTATTACCTCCTCTTCCTACCTTTTTCCCGTTTTCTTCTACTAACGCCGGCATCATAGCTGACTGAAAGTGGCCTTGAAAACCCCCCAACAGGAGTTTAAAAACCTGAACGGATTTCATAGAAAAAACTTTTATAATGACCGGATCACAGTGCCTCGCGCCGGAAAAATATGTATTATATATTTTTTCAGTAGTTACAAAGTTTAGAGGAAAAATATGTCAAAGTTTGATAATGCGCCGGAGACTTTAGAGACAAGATGGGGGTGGTGAGGAGGGGGGAGGGGGGAGTGGTTAGGGGGGGGAGGGGGAGTGGTTAGGGTGAGGGGGGGGGAGGGGGAGTGGTTAGGGGGGGTAATGGGGTGAGTGGGGGGAGGGGGAGTGGTTAGTGGGGGTAAGGGGGGGGAGGGGGAGTGGCTAGTGGGGGTAAGGGGGGGGGGCAGGGGGTGGATGAATGGGTGATTGAAGGGGAAAGAGGGTTTGGAATGTAGGGATTGGTTGGTGAAAGGGGGGGGGGGATAAGGTCATGAATGGGTAAGGGAGGGGTGGGAATGGGGAGAAGGTAGGGGGATGGAAGGGATGGGGATGGAAAGGGAGGGATGGGGAGGATAAACAAGGTATGAATGGGGATAGGGTCACATCCACTTCCCCCCCCCCCCCCCCCTATCCTAGCAGCAGTGCCAAGGACTCATCCCTTTCCTCCTAAGTAGTGGAGTGGACACCTAACTGCACACCAGACCCAACAGCCTGCTGAACCCACCACCGGCTTGTCGGTCCTCGACGCCGGCGTTGAAGTGTCACATATCCTCCGCTAAGTGGCACTCAAAGACAGGACTCGAGTGCCAAGTTCCTGGCAGAGTCTGTATCTCCTCTCTCAGTAAGTCTCAGATAGCATACACCTTTTGAATGATAGCTGCTAGTACCACAACAGTGGGGCATAAACAGGGCCTTTTATAGGCCTACGTACGGCCTATAAAAGCCATTTCATACCCCCCCCCACTGAGAGAAAGATTTTCACCGGTACCACAGAATAATGCTATATAGGATCTTCTCATTTCCAAAGTCAGACAAAGAAAGGAGGTTATCTTGAGGTTATCTTGAGATGATTTCGGGGTTTTAGTGTCCCCGCGGCCCGGTCCTCGACCAGGCCTCCACCCCCAGGAAGCAGCCCGTGACAACTGACTAACACCCAGGTACCTATTTTACTGCTAGGTAACAGGGGCATAGGGTGAAATAAACTCTGCCCATTGTTTCTCGCCGGCGCCTGGGATCGAACCCAGGACCACAGGATCACAAGTCCAGCGTGCTGTCCGCTCGGCCGACCGGCTCCACTTGCTGGAATTCAATTCCAGGAATCATTTGTTGCCCTCTCCTGGTGCAGGCGAGGAGTCACAATAACGGGGCTGAAGTATGATGACCAGACCACACACTAGAAGGTGAAAGGACGACGACGTTTCGGTCCGTCCTGGACCATTCTCAAGTCGATTGTGTCGTCGTCCCTTCAACTTCTAGTGTGTGGTCTGGTCAACCCTCTCCTGACCTTTATCAGGGGTCCACTTCCCGCCAAACACACACCGAAACTACGACGTTGGTACAACGTTCGAGCAAGTTTTAACACCACCTAACCAGTTATAACAACCAATATAGCAAGTTGTAACAACGTTCTAATACGTCATAAACACGTTAAGCCAAGATGTAACAACTTTATTACAAGTTGTAACAAGCGGAAAATAGAGACAGTTACGGTTTGTGTTTCCAGGGTTGTAACTTACTGCAGTCTCCCTCTGTTTCTACATTCCTCATAAGTTTTGCGTCATCTGCAAACACGGATATGTAAGGCCTCACTTGCAGGCGATGAGTCACAATAACGTGGCTGAAGTATGTTGACCAGACATACCCTGGTCCTACATACATTTCAGACCACTAGAAATTGAAGGGACGACGACGTTTCGGTCCGTCCTGGACCATTCTCAAGTCGATTGAGAATGGTCTCAATCGACTTGAGAATGGTCTAGGACGGACCGAAACGTCGTCGTCCCTTCAATTTCTAGTGTGTGGTCTGGTCAACAAAGGGCTCACTGCCTCAAGTAGGTCAGTAATATGAATTAAGAAACAACAACGATCCATTTTTCCACTTGAAACCTGGTCTCTTAACCCAGGAAACACAAACCGAAACTGTCTCAATTTTCCGCTTGTTACAACTTGCAATAAAGTTGTTACATCTTGGCTTAACGTGTTTATGACGTGTTAGAACGTTGTTACAACTTGTAATAAAGTTGTTACGTCTTGGCTTAACGTGTTTATGACGTGTTAGAACGTTGTTACAACTTGTAATAAAGTTGTTACATCTTGGCTTAACGTGTTTATGACGTATTAGAACGTTGTTACAACTTGCTCTATTGGTTGTTATAACTGGTTAGGAGGGATTAAAACTTGTTCGAACGTTGTACCAACGTCGTAGTTTCGGTGTGTGTTTGGCGGGTTACCCTTTGCCTCTAAGCCTTACCCTTTGCCTCTAAGCCTTACCCTTTGCCTCTAAGCCTTACCCTTTGCCTCTAAGCCTTACCCTTTGCCACTAAGCCTTACCCTTTGCCTCTAAGCCTTACCCTTTGCCTCTAAGCCTTACCCTTTGCCACTAAGCCTTACCCTTTGCATCTAAGCCTTACCCTTTGCCTCTAAGCCTTACCCTTTGCCACTAAGCCTTACCCTTTGCCTCTAAGCCTTACCCTTTGCCTCTAAGCCTTACCCTTTGCCACTAAGCCTTACCCTTTGCCTCTAAGCCTTACCCTTTGCCACTAAGCCTTACCCTTTGCCTCTAAGCCTTACCCTTTGCCACTAAGCCTTACCCTTTGCCTCTAAGCCTTACCCTTTGCCCTCTGACCCTCAGGTGCTTCCTTACCCACTTTAGGATTTTCCAAGTTCTCCTCGACTCTTTTTCCCATCTTATACAGCCGTCGCCTCTCACGAGGAACTGTGTCAAATGCTTTCTGGCAATCTAGAAAATCACAGTCTACCCAGCCTTGTTTTTCCTGTCATATTTTAGCCACCTTGTCATAAAACTAAATCAAGTTTGTCAAGCACAACTTTAAACTTTCCAAATCTATGTTGCCCTTTACTTTAAACTTTAAACTTTCTTTAAATTGTACTTTAAACTTTCCAAATCTATGAGAGAACCAACATTGTTACGAACTTGGTCCTCTCCAGATGCTCAATGACTCTCAAACTGATTACTTTTCCGGCATATTATAATAATTTTAGGACAATACTTGCTTTTTTCTGAATTCTGGAAGATTTCCAATTTCAAGCATTTAATTAAAAGTTTGAGAGAATAGGCAATAAAGTATTTCTGTAGCCGTCTCCAGCAGCCGTGGTGAGATAAAGTCGGGTCTTATTGATTTTGTCATCTAGATCCTCAAGGTATTTTTTTACCTCTTCCACAGTAATTACAACGTCATCCATTGTTTCTACCAACCTTTCATCTTGCAACCTTGGTCTCAATGTTGTTTCTATTGTAAAGACCTACCGAAATTTTTTGTAAATTCTATTTCAAACCTCTGTATCGTTCTCTGTGAGAATTATTCCTTGATGATAGGCTATGGGATAGCATGGCGAGTCAGGCATGAGATAGCATAGTGAGTCAGGTATGGGATAGCATGATGTGTCAGGCATGAGATAGCATAGTGAGTCAGGCATGGAATAGCATGGTGAGTCAGGCATGGAATAGCATGGTGAGTCAGGCATGGAATAGCATGGTGAGTCAGGCATGAGATAGCATAGTGAGTCAGGTATGGGATAGCATGATGTGTCAGGCATGATAGCATAGTGAGTCAGGCATGGATAGCATGGTGAGTCAGGCATGGAATAGCATGGAGAGAAAGAGCATAGGCTAACGTAGTTAGAGGGCATGGAATAGTGTGATGAATCCCACCTGTAGACACCCACAAATGGGCAATTAGACCTGATTGATGCTAAACCAAGAAAGAGATAACATACATACCCGATCGAACGTACATCAACTATAATAACTCTTCTCCTCCTCCCCCCAAAAAAGATATAATTCACAGAACCCAAATTCCAGCTTCTGCCCAAGTCTCTCTGTTTCTCCCTCCCCCAAATGTCAGTAACGATTGTGCTCAGCGCCTCATTAGCATAGAAATAAGAGAGGCGGACGCCCTGTGATGATTCTGACCCCGTCTGAATCCCTGGGATAATCCCCCATTAATCCAATGGATCTTATCAACCCAGATCGCCATTAAATCTATACATGGAGAGGTGTGTGTAACCCCCCCACTTCTCGATGTATATACGTTCAGAGTATACTCGCAAGTCCTGGACTATGTTGAGTATGTTTAGTATACTCGCAGGACTGTCAGTATAGTTTAGTGGTGGTGTTAATATCCCTGTAGAGGATGATAGGCCTTAATGCTAGTATTAAAGCAATGGCAGCCGTTCACATTAGGGAGTGTAAAGGGCTCTTATATTTCGCTCTGTGGTATTACACCATCTAACTCAGTTGGGTCGTCTAATATCGTTAGATCTAAACGGTAAATCTAACGATCTAATACCGTTAGATTGTTAGATTTGTCTAAGGCAAATGGGTTTAATTAATGGTCGATCAATTTCAATGGTGATGATGAAGGTCATATCACCCTTATCTACTTAGGCATTTCCTTCCCTCTCCCTTTCTCTCCCTTATCTACCAAGCCTCAGCCTCCTCCTCTCTCTCTCAGGCTATCTATCTACGCTCCTTCTCAGTCACCCTGTACTCTATGGCACCCTATACACTATGCTTCTACCCTGATGGCACCCTATAACCTATGGTCCAATCTTCTTGACACCCTATACTCTATGCATCTGCCATGCTTACGTGACCCGAACGCTGTCCGCTCGGCCGTGAGGACATATACTTTTTGTGTCTACAGGATCGAAGGGAACTATCAGGGAGAAAGCACCAAGCCACTGCGACTATATAGCACTGGGAAGGGCTCAGGATAAGGATTTAGGATGGGACGGGGGGGAAGGAATGGTGACCCAACCACTTGTGGACGGTCGGGGATTGAACGCCGACCTGCATGAAGCGAGACCGTCGCTCTACCGTCCAGCCCAAGTGGTTGGGCGTCTACAGGATCGAGTTGCAAGCTCTTGTGCACCTTGGCTCTCTAACTTATTGCCTCTTTTAATGTACAATCCACAGATTCAGGCTAAGAAAACAGAGGTGGCGAAAAAATATATTAGAAGGGGTTCTTTTGCAGAGTGGTAGACGGTTGGAACAAGTTAGGTGAGAAGGTGGTGGAGGCCAAGACCGTCAGTAGTTTCAAAGCGTTATATGACAAAGAGTGCTGGGAAGACGGGACGCCACGAGCGTAGCTCTCATCCTGTAACTACACTTAGGTAATAATTACATACCCACCCAACAACCCATTACCTAGCATCCTCCCTTTTATCCATCTTCCCCATTAGTTTCTAAAGGCCGTTCTTATGTTAGCCAACCTGGCATATGCCGCTGATGTTATCCTCTTGATATGGGCTTCAGGGAACAGGTCTGGCGTGATATCAGTCCCCAGGTCTTTCTCTCTCTCTCTCTCTCTCTCTTGAAGTATTTCCCCATTTCTTATCTCCCTCCCTTTACCCATCTTCCTGCCACACTCTGAGCCTGGCCACACAGAGATAGCGAGACACAGACAACAAACCGACAGCTATATGTAACAGGACGACAGCTATATGTAACAGGACGACAGCTATATGTAACAAGTCACACACACTGATAGCTGAGTTACTCTGTATCAAGCAGCAAGATAGAACTAGAGATCACACACACACACACACATACACACACAGAGGATAACATGAGATGGAAAGTGATGTGATAAGGAAGGTAGGGATGAATCGAGATAAGGATAAGAAGAGAGTGAACAGGAAAAGAAGGATAAAATGTATTAAGGTTGGATAGGAAAGGGAAAAAGGGTCAACAAACAAGGGTTAAGGAAGAGGTCGGAAGTAACGAATGGAGAAAATCTGGAAAAACTGAAAAACACAAAATATATGAGAGAGAGAGAGAGAGAGAGAGAGAGAGAGAGAGAGAGAGAGAGAGAGAGAGAGAGGAGAGAGAGAGAGAGAGAGAGAGAGAGAGAGATAGAACCCCGGTATCCAGCTGCTGCCTCACACGTGTTAGAGAACAACTGCATGCACCAACACCTGTGTTTAAGAGAACAACTGCATGCACCAACACCTGTGTTTAAGAGAACAACTGCATGCACCAACACCTGTGTTTAAGAGAACACCTGTTCTTTAGTCGCCAGGGCAAGGTAGGGAAGGTGTGTATTTGAAACCAAATTTTCGAATGTAACTTTGTAAATGTAATTATCGCCTAAAATTTGGATCAGGTTAACTATTTTGATTCGATTTCACAACAGTTGAAATCTAACCAGAGGGGACTGTGCTTTGTCCCCCAATAGACCAACAGCTCTCATTCCTAGACTGGAAGAAACTTAGTCTGTCTCCTATTCCTTGGCTAGCAAACAGCAGAATCACAAACACAGGACCACATGAGTACAGCTCTCTCTCTCTCTCTCTCTCTCTCTCTCTCTCTCTCTCTCTCTCTCTCTCTCTCTCTCTCTCTCTCTCTCTCTCTCTCACACACACACACACAAAACCCTCCAACTCGTTCAGAATTTAGAAATTCTTAAAACGATCTCAAGACATTCTTACGCAGACAATAGGTCTCTGGGCGCCGGCAGCAGAGGGAGCTACACTCCAGTCATGAATATATTACTCTGAGGCCAAGACAGCTGCTGTTTAAAATAACGCACTAAGGAACGCAGACAACGCACCAAGGAACGCAGACAACGCACCGAAGAAGGCAGACAACGCACCGAAGAAGGCAGACAACGCACCAAGAAAGGCAGACAACGCACCAAGGAACGCAGACAACGCACCAAGAAAGGCAGACAACGCACCAAGAAAGGCAGACAACGCACCGAAGAAGGCAGACAACGCACCAAGGAACGCAGACAACGCACCGAAGAAGGCAGACAACGCACCAAGGAACGCAGACAACGCACCGAAGAAGGCAGACAACGCACCGAAGAAGGCAGACAACGCACCAAGAAAGGCAGACAACGCCCCGAAGAAGGCAGACAACGCACCAAGGAACGCAGACAACGCACCGAAGAAGGCAGACAACGCACCGAAGAAGACAGACAACGCCCCGAAGAAAGGCAGACAACGCACCGAAGAAAGGCAGACAACGCACCAAGAAAGGCAGACAACGCCCCGAAGAAGGCAGACAACGCACCAAGGAACGCAGACAACGCACCGAAGAAGGCAGACAACGCACCGAAGAAGACAGACAACGCCCCGAAGAAAGGCAGACAACGCACCGAAGAAAGGCAGACAACGCACCGAAGAAAGGCAGACAACGCACCGAAGAAGGCAGACAACGCACCAAGGAACGCAGACAACGCACCGAAGAAGGCAGACAACGCACCGAAGAAGGCAGACAACGCACCAAGAAAGGCAGACAACGCCCCGAAGAAGGCAGACAACGCACCAAGGAACGCAGACAACGCACCGAAGAAGGCAGACAACGCACCGAAGAAGACAGACAACGCCCCGAAGAAAGGCAGACAACGCACCGAAGAAAGGCAGACAACGCCCCGAAGAAGGCAGACAACGCACCAAGAAAGGCAGACAACGCACCAAGAAAGGCAGACAACGCACCAAGAAAGGCAGACAACGCACCAAGAAAGGCAGACAACGCACCAAGAAAGGCAGACAACGCACCAAGAAAGCCAAACACAGCAAACAGCTCCTGAAGCAGACCCTGCACCTCCCCCCAGACACGTCAGCCAACACCCCCACATCATCACAACAGAATCTGTCGCCGCGGACCAAAGGCGTCGATCAATCAACACAGCCACAGAGGTCTCAATATACATCTGACACATCCTGGAATGTGTCCAAGTTCCCTGCACCGTTGCCACGACACATGGGGGATACATTCACCATCTCCGCCACCACCACGACTAGCTTCTCAAAGGTCTGTGACTCAGCTTCAGAGGGAATAAGAGACTGGAGGAGATGAAGAGGAACTGGAGCAGATGATAGTGAAGATATCTGCACTATAGAGAGATGGTGATGACTTAGAGCAAGGGATGCTGGAGACTTAGAGCAAGGGATGCTGGAGACTTAGAGCAAGGGATGCTGGAGACTTAGAGCAGGAGATGGTGGAGACTTAGAGCAAGGGATGCTGGAGACTTAGAGCAAGGGATGCTGGAGACTTAGAGCAAGGGATGCTGGAGACTTAGAGCAAGGGATGCTGAAGATTTAAGAGCATGTGTGCTAGGCTAGGCCTAGCACACATTAAGTTTGTTCTTTAGCTTCATTTTCCCGGACTCTATAAAGTGAATAGTACCCAATTCTACTATCAAAACAGGAGGATGGATTGTTTTTCTGTTAGTTTAATTTAATTTAAACATTAAATTATCTGAGTAAATGTTTACGTACATTAAACCAGATATTTATACCACTCTAAATTATTACACCCCGAACACCATCCCCCTAAAACAGCGAGTCCGGTGGACGCTTCCGGCTAGAACTAGCCATGGAGGTCACGCAGAGGGGGGGGGATAGGAAGAGGGAGGGAAAGGGGGGAAAAGGGGGAAAAGGTAGGGGAGAGCAGGGCTGTGGTGTGTGTGTGTGTATGTGTGTGTGTGTGTGTGTGTGTGTGTGTGTGTGTGTGTGTGTGTGTGTGTGTGTGTGTGTGTGTGTGTGTGTGTTGGAGTATAGAGGTAGGGAAGGGGTGTGGTTTATTCTGGGAAGTTGGGTGGGGGAGGTGGTGGAGAATATTTGGTTGAGTGGGGGTTGGGGTGGAGTGTGCTTGCTTGAGTGGGGCTTAGGGTGGAGAATGTTCGGTTGGAGTGGAGTATATTGGGTTGAGTGGGACTTGGAGTAGAGTATATTTGGTTGAGTGGGACTTGGAGTAGAGTATATTTGGTTGAGTGGGACTTGGAATAGAGTATATTTGGTTGAGTGGGACTTGGAACAGAGCATATTTGGTTGAGTGGGACTTGGAGTAGAGTATATTTGGTTGAGTGGGACTTGGAGTGGAGTATATTTGGTTGAGTGGGAGTTGGAGTGTATGTGCTTGGTTGAGGGAAAATGATGGTGGTTTGGCTAGGTTATATTTGGAATGAATATATGAAAAGAAGAAGAAAACCTATGATGTGTACTTTAATCAAAAATCAATTTCAAAATACGAAGACAGAGAACGTTCAACTAATGAACACCCCCCCCCACCCCCCCTAGTTGTTCAATCTAACAACCTATAATGAACATACTGTTCACCTACCCCGTGTATGCAGCCCCCCCTAGTCTAAAAATCATAACTCCCAATAATTTAGTAAAGTGAAATTCTGATAGAGGATATGGTATAGTGACACGTGGATAAAATGTGACCACAATACTCACCTGACCACTGGATCAAGCTTATTATATAGTCTCTGCTGCTTGACTTTTCAACAAGATAAGCAAACCGGACGGGACAGGGCTCTGTGACCCAACAGGACCTCAGGGCCTATTCATAAGGAATGGACAACTCATTCCTTAAGTAATGTCCTTTCTCTTCTTTCCACGGGGGTGTGAGGAGAGGGAAGTAGAGAATAAAGCGAAGAGGGAACGGAAAATAAAGATTGGCGAAGGAAAATTCAAGAAACGTGAAGAGAGGGAAGTAGAAGAGAAGGATAAAATGGAAAGAGATGAGAGTAAAGAGCAAAATTGTTGGGAAGGAGAGGGTGGAAAGAGGGGGGGAGGGAGAGAGAGGAGAGAGAGAGAGAGAGAGAGAAAGAGCGAGAGAGAGAGAGAGAGAGAGAGAGAGAGAGAGAGAGAGAGAGAGAGAGAGAGAGAGAGAGAGAGAGAGAGAGAGAGAGAGAGAGAGAGAGAGAGAGAGAGAGAGAGAGAGAGAGAGGGGAGTGAAAGGTAAGAGGCACAAGAGAAAGACCCCAAGAGGCCCCTTGCAATTTTATGGTGATGGTAAACTCAAGAACCAAACTATTACCCGCCTGAAACATACATTAGCTACCTGGTCCTAAGAGGCTCTCTGATCTGCGTGTGCGTGTGTATGTCCACACGTGCGTGTGTGTGTGTGTGTGTGTGAATCCACTATCAACAAACCCGTACACACACAGACGTACCTGTGTGCACGCGTGCGAACCAGACAAGCCGTTTCGTCTCACCATAAAATTCTATCACACACACACAACAATTCTCCCCTAGTGAGAAAACAAGGTGCGGAGAGTCATAAGCATATGAAGAGCTGGGGGATAGGTAGTGAACGACAAGGATGGAGGGACGGTGGGATAGGGTGGGAGGAAGGGTCTCCCACGAGGCTAGGAACAGTGGGGGGAAGAAAAACCTGATTAGGAGACTGTCACCTCAGGCTATGATGGATAGGGAGTTTGGGAGATGAGAAAATCTACGAGACAGGTCAATAGTTGACATAGACAGCTAAGATTGAGACACAGGTGAGAAAGAGAAAGAGAAGCAGGTGGGCATATGAGGAGAGAGAGAGAGAGAGAGAGAGAGAGAGAGAGAGAGAGAGAGAGAGAGAGAGAGAGAGAGAGAGAGAGAGAGAGAGAGAGAGAGAGAGAGAGAGAGTAATGGGACATCAGATGCCTAAGGCCAGGGTGAATCTACTCCCCATACAGTCTCTCCCTTTAATACTATCAATGGAGGGCTCTCTCTCTCTCTCTCTCTCTCTCTCTCTCTCTCTCTCTCTCTCTCTCTCTCTCTCTCTCTCTCTCTCTCTCTCTCTCTCTCTCGACACCCACATCAATACTATCTACGTGATCCTAAAAGTCCCCATCTCGCAGGATGGTCAGTCATACAGGGTTCATATGTTCTGTATAGCTTGCACTGGCAAATTTTGGGTGTAATATGAGGATATCTTCAAGAACACGAGTGAATAAATTGCAAAGCTCCAGGTACCTCATGCCAACGGGTCTGAATGGTCTGATAACTGGGCATTCGGTGATGTAGTGTGGAAGATCATGCCCCCTGTTCCTGCTCACAGAGTTTGCAGGCATCACTATTCCAATCTGCCACTATTCCAATCTGCCACCATTCCAATCTCTCGGTAAACTCTACGGCGTTTTCTTTCACGTTTCACTAACACAGTCAGCATCATCACAGTTAACGACAGTTAACCTCATTAACGACACAGTCAACATAGCAAAGGTCAGCCATATATATATATATATATATATATATATATATATATATATATATATATATATATATATATATATATATATATATATATATACTGCATTATCCGGAGAGTTTTAATATCCTGTGGTTTAGGTCTTTGTGTCCGGTGCTACGTTATTAAAAATGATAATGGGAAAGGAAAAGAGAGAGAGAAAAGGGACGGGGGGGGGGGAAGTAAGGGGTAAAATATGAGAGGGAGGGGGTGTTGGAGGCCCCAAACCCCCCCCCCCCTCCCTTCCTCCCTTTCCCCTCACCTTATTTTCCACATGGGAGGTGAAGCGACCAGGAATACACCCTGTCAGTTTATGGGGGAAGAGACAGGATTATAGGAAGTAAAGTGGATGTTGTGGGGATGGGTGAGAGTAGGGTGAATGGGTGAGAGTAGGGTGAATGGGTGAGAGTAGGGTGCTGTGATATGTTTACAATATACTAACATGCCCACATGTCCAAGAATTACTACAATCTCTTCATTTACCGATGGTGTCAAGAGGAAAGCGAAACCTTTGCATCTCCGATGTAACCAATGGCGTTTTTTTTCCCCAAGATGGAGACCGATCATAATACCCACCACTACCCTCGGACCGAAACGTGTTATATTAACATATATCCACCAGTGAAGCCATTGAACATCTTGGGAAAAAAATTTGCATCAAATTTGCATCAAAAAAGTAAATCTAAAGAAATAAATATTTTTATTTACGAACAGGAAAGTAGAGTTTAACATTACTTAACAACAGAATTAAGAGAAGGAATTAAATAAAGCTCAGAGAGAGAGAGAGAGAGAGAGAGAGAGAGAGAGAAGAGAGAGAGAGAGAGAGAGAGAGAGAGAGAGAGAGAGAGAGAGAGAGAGAGAGAGAGAGAGAGAGAGAGAGAGAGAGAGAGAGAGAGAGAGAGAGAGAGAGGAAAAGAGAAACTAGGATAAATTTTGAAGACAGGAAACTTGATTAGAAATTATGTACTCTGTGGACACCTGTACTCTCCCTTCATTTGTACTCTGATAATCACTGTACTCAGTGATTACAGGTGCTCACGACGACGGGAGTAGAAAGAGGGAGGGTGTGTGTGGTTCAGGTGTGTGGTTCAGGTGTGTGGTAGGCAAGAGGAGGAACCTTTAATCAGCTAGTGGAGGTAGCAAGAACGCACATGACTGGAGATCAAAGGCAGTTACCATGTGCTTGTAAACAGTCACTGAGAAGCGTGCCTTTGGGGAGACATCAGAGGTCCCTAGTCTGAGGGGAAAGAACTGGGAGGGAGAGAGGGGAAATAAGTGAGGAAAGTTTGTTTTTTTCCCTCTAGGACGTGTTGGCTTTTGCAGAAGACTCCAAAAGGTTATTTGCCTAAACAGTTTCAATTTTGTTATGTTATTCGTTGTTTAATTCTTTAATTGCCGGTTTTTTTCCTTACATGTGTGTGTGTGTGTGTGTGTGTGTGTGTGTGTGTGTGTGTGTGTGTGTGTGTGTGTGTGTGTGTGTGTGTGTTTGTATGTGTGTGTACTCACCTATTTGTGCTTGCAGGGGTTGAGCTTTGGCTCTTTGGTCCCGCCTCTCAACCGTCAATCAACAGGTGTACTGATTCCTAAGCCTACTGGGCTCTATCATATCTACACTTGAAACTGTGTATGGAGTCAGCCTCCATCACATCACTTTCTAATGCATTCCATTTGTCAACCACTCTGA